TACAGCCTTAGCATACTTGTCCCTGCCCTGTTCCTCCCCCTTGGAGTCTCTAATTTCCCCCGGGAGTCTGTTTACTCCCTTGGCGTTCAAGCCGCCCAGCTCAACCCATGTCACACCCCTTTTGACAGGACGGCCCCACCCAATAGTCCCCCAAAGTGACCCAAGAGTTGAAGTCCAAAGCTTGTCCCCTTTTATCTGGGCAGCCCAGCTCAGTAGTAACCCTCCTGTGGCCCAAGGGTCAAAGTCTACAGTTTGCCCTTCATGGTCAGGGCAGCACCGTTCAGTAGTCCCACTGTAACTCTAAGGGCATGTCTACACTAGCCACCCTAGTTCGAACTAGGGTGGCTAATGTAGTCATTCAAACTTGCAAATGAAGCCCGGGATTAAAATATCCCGGGCTTTGTTTGCATGTTCCCGGGCGCGACTCCCTACCCGCGGCTACACGAGGCACGGGCTAGGTAGTTCGAACTAAAGCCCCTAATTCAGACTACTATTACTCTGCGTGTAGCTGCGGGCAGGGAGTCTGAATTACCGGGCGTTTAAAAATGGCTGTGCCCGGGAACATGCAAATAAAGCCCAGGATATTTTAATCCCGGGCTTCATTTGCAAGTTCGAATGACTACATTAGCCACCCTAGTTCGAACTAGGGTGGTAGTGTAGACATACCCTGTGGTAGTAGTCTGTTCAAGAGTTAGTACGTAAGGGGAAGTCTTATATCCCCCAGCAAGGGGGTCCAGGCCCTCCCACTCAATTGGACCCCAGCCTGGGGCTCTGTCAATGGCTTGCTCACCTCACTGAGTCAGCGGAAAATCCTGACCACAACACGCTGACTCTTGTGGCTTTTTCCCACAACATGCGGACCCCTCAACAGTGGTTCACTCACCCCGGGTACCGTCGCTGCTCCTGGGCTGCTTCCTGCTTCTCTGCTCACTGGTGGGTCTCAGTTTCACCACGTCCCTCTGTGTTCTGGGTACTGCTCCTTTCCCCCAGACTCAACAAGGTCTCAAGGTCTCCAGTCTGTTTGGTAGCACCCTGGCCTCTAGGTAGGCGCTGGGGCTTGCAGGGAGTTGGTTCGGCATGTTCTCTCCTTCCAGCTGCCAGCCCCAACTGAACTGAGCTGCTCTCTTTTATATTAGTGCAGCCTGAGCATTCCCAGTAAGCTAAAGGGGGTGTGACCCCCTCCGCCCTCAGGGCTGAGTGAACCCCCTCCTGACCAGTGTGGGGTGGGTACACCCCATCACAGGCTCATAGATAATACAGAAAGAGATGCGGAAGCCAGCTTATAATGGATAAGAAAATTGTCAGAAAATGTATCCTGGTGGGAATAAAAATTTGGGGGAAACAGTCTCCTTTTGGTGGAAAATTTTCAGGGAAGATTATTTTCTCTTCTTCAATGCAAAAATCTTTCAGGCTGTTCACTGGTCCATTCATTTAACAGTTTCCAGTGACATAAACACAGGTAATCATTTTCATATCAAATAGATGCTAGTTTTTCAAGCTCTCTGAAATGTTAGTGATATGGATTTTACAACATACAATTTCACTGCCACAATGGATTTTATATCCACATACATGGTGCAACATCATGATTGAAATTCTAGTATAAAGGAATAAAGCAATGTCAAATAAAAATAGTAGTGCATAGTTAAGAGAACAAAGTTGGAAACTTGTAACAAATATCCTGATGATTTTTCTTTTCTCTGTGATAACTCAATGGGGTTTTATTTCTTTATTTAGACAAGTTATTTTGCTTGAATATCAAGAAAGGAAAAATATAGCATCACAGCAATATAGCCATTACTTATTACATGCATTAGAATCCATACTCCTAAAATTAAGAAAAAGCTTTCTGAAAAGAGTTTTTCTTCCTTATTTTCTGCACCCAGCTCCCTGCTTCCCATGTGGCATTTGTTGTTATTCTTTCATGGTAAAACAGCTGACAGGAATGATTTTTCAATCACTTAGCAGTTCAGAAAAGAATGTACCTAAACTGCTGATGCCAAAGAAGGGTTGGAAAAATCATTGTATCCTACTAGCACATGCATTATTGCACTGAAAAGCAATAAAGCAAAACAGTTTTTAGGGCAGCCCTAAGGGGAGGTGAGTGGGTCAGAAGTCCCTTAGACTTAGGAATTTAAACAACCTTGTAACAGATAATGCACTAGGAAGAGAAACAGAAAGCGTACGCTGTCTTGTGAGATAGCTAGGTTCAGAAACATGTTTCAGATTCAGCCTCCAGAGTGGTGATTATAGATTGTGTTCTTTGCAGAGCTAAAGTGATTGTGTTTTACAAGGAGAGTGCAGCTCTTTCTCCTACTATTGAGTTTTTAGAAACTGTATTAGTGGTGGTTTGGAGGTGCCCGTATATGTTGCTAGAAGGAGCATAATCTGTTTTGAGTTGACAGCAAAGGAAGGATAGGCAGCGGCAAACCAGGGGAAGGTAGTCGCCAATCTCTACTTTAGGATGTTGAGCCGCAGATATAGAGCTTAAGTCTGAAAGAAAAGTATTTGTACATGCACTAAAATTTCAAACAATGCTAAATTAAAGTGGGCATGTTAGCTAGGAAATTGGAAAGCATATTCTATGTCACATAGGATATAAGTAAATTTGTCTTACACAGCTTTTCCAATCTTTTGTTTTGTGTTCTCTTGGATACTTGATCATCTGTCTTCCTCAATATAGGTAGTAAAGTATGATGTGCTTATTCGCACATAAGCACAGTGTACAGACTCTGGCATATTGTCTTTTTCTCCCAGGCACATGCAAGCCACTTGGGGTGAGTTCTGCATTTACTTAAACTGCATTTCCTCTGACTTCAACAGGGCTGCATGAGAATAATTTAAAGGCGCATCAGACATTTATACTGTGAGAAGGTCATCACACTGGGGTCAAAGCTAGCCCTCAGTTACGTCCATTTGACCACTGAAATGTCAGCTCCATTTACGTAACTAAGGGTGTGTCTAGGCTCAGCTCCATTTACGTAACTAAGGGTGTGTCTAGACTACAGAGTTTTGTCGACAAAAGTCGACTTTTGTCGACAAAACTATACCTGCGTCTACACTACCGCTGTGTTCTGTCGACATAACGTCGACAGAACTCAGTAGTTTTGTCGACGCTGGTAAACCTCATTTTACGAGGCATAACGCATTCTGTCGACAGAGTTCTGTCGACAGAAGGTGTTATTGCATTTAGGGTTGCGTCTAGACTACAGGGTTTTCAGGGTTTTGTCGACAAAGCACCTTGCTTTGTCGACAGAACTGAATGTAGTCTAGACGCTCTTTGTCGACAGAATCTTTGTCGACAGAATCTGTCGACAAAACTTCTGTTGACAAAAGCCTGTAGTCTAGACGTACCCAAAGAAAATAATTAGTTCTTCTAAATTAATGAGGTTTTGTAACATTTTGAGAGAGGAAACACGTTCCTTTTCATCTAGAAATATCTGACAATTTAACTTTGCTTATTTTGTCAATAATAAACTTGTTAATAAAAATTTGGCAACCAACAACCATCACCCATGGTGCAAAATAAATACTGCAGTGAGGACCTAGTAGAACTAGACTTTGTTCTTATCTTTTTGCATAAGGATTTACTTGCCTATTTGAATTTCCAGTGCACTGAGACGAGATTACAGTATATCACTTAGGGTATGTCTACACTACAAAGATAGTTCGAACTAACGTCCGTTAGTTCGAACTAACTTTCATAGGCGCTACACTAGCGCTCCGTTAGTTTGAATTTAATTCGAACTAACGGAGCGCTTAGTTCGAACTAGGTAATCCTCATTCCACAAGGATTAAGCCTAGTTCGAATTTACTTAACTTTTTCAAACCTAACTCATGACTATGTAGATCTTTTATGAGCCTTATGTACGCTATTATATGTAAATGAATTATATATTCTTTGCTAGGCTATTAATATGTAAGTAATGGTACTTTGACAGTGAGACAGAAAATGAATTAAGTTAACAAGTGTTGATATCTCCATTTCCTAATTGTTCCCTGTTCTGGTAACTTTGTTTTGTCTGTCAGATTCTGTTCACAATGTGCCCTTCCTCTAAGAATGAATTGTTTTCGTATGGTGGGTGTAGCTGTCTGATTTATGCCTCTTTGGGAGCATATTTTGTAGATGTTTTATCAAGATAATTCCCATATCATCATTCCAAGTACTATATTCCCCTGTAATGATGTCTGTATGTGACAGACTCCTTTCTACACTTGTGTAGAATGCATATTGGGGTTATTTGCTCAGTGAAGTGGGGGTTTTAATTTTAGAATACTATGTTTTTTTTAATTTAAAATGGAAATGCCTTACCAAGCAAATAATTTAGCATCTTAAATTATTGCAACAGAATGCATGAGTAGACATAAGCATTAGAAAGTATACATTCTCAAAGTAAGCCGAAAAGCTTGTTGCTTGTCAGCACCTGTTCAGAGTTGTTTTCTCTTGCAAGAGTTAATATATTAAGGTTAAGTGCTCAAAGGCAGCTGCATACATTATTTTGTGTTTAATATAATCAACTTTACCCGAGACAGTATTTTGAACAGTAGGCATGATAGGTAAGAAATCTGTTTACTTTTAAATGTATATATTATATTTACCTCTATGTATGGTGCTTGTCTATCAATATGTTCTGTTAAT